TATTTTAAAGTAGTGACTGTAAATTAAACTAAGGTGAATCAACTGGTGGTGAGGTGTGGAGCTTACCATGTGTGGCATGCCATCACAAACACAAAGCAGTTTTAGCCCAAAGAGACTTCAAAGCAATTACCATAGTGATTCTACTTTATTTATATGTAAGAGTAGGACTGAAGGCTACAAGGCTACTGGACTCCCAACTCATTAGTACTTCTGTTAAGTGCTGAAGATGAGTCTCTGGAAGCAAGACTCAGCTCAGCATACGCTCAGTTTTAACATCACTTTGGGTTCTTCTGTAGCTTCCCGTTAGCATGTCTGAAGTTGTGTTGTTTCTGTCTTGGATGCAGTTTTCATTTTACCATCCCTCTCTTGTCCCTTCTAGCAACAAAAATAAAAGTAATATCCATGACTGCTGCTAAAAAATTCTTTGCTGCTCATTTTCGAGATTCTGAGGGACAGGGTTGGGCTTTTCTTTCTTTTTTCTAGTTGATAAATGGACGAGAAAATGGCACAACAGGGATATATTTAATTAAATTCAGAAGTATGCTACATAGTGCCTTAATATTTTATTAAAGACAAGTAACATACAATGGGAACAAGTCTGGAAGTTTCAGTTTACCTTCTGTATTGATCGTGAACCAGCTGAGCGATGTAGCCACAGGACAGCTAGCTTTGTCCTATGACCACAGCCTCTATAGGAAAGACACAAATTTAACATAAAATTATATGAAAAGTATGAAAAGATCTTTTTATGTTTTAAATTTGCACTTCTCTGCATAAAGACTTATTGTACCAAATAATTGTGACACTTTCTTCACCATCAGGTCTCCATGTAGAGTTTTGTTTTCCCACACACTCTGAATACCTGATGCGTGACATGGGACAACGTACCCAGTTATTCATTGTGTTCTATATGTTTCCTGTGTACTACCTACATTAACGACCATAAAGACTAATGAAAACATTATACAGTTTAAATAAACTTACCACTTACCGTAAATATGAGATAAACTGCGCAGGGTAAAACAGAAACAGTCTGGTAGTTATTTCGGTGCAAAGTCAACATGTGTTTTTCAACATGTGTTTGCAATTGTGAACGAACTCTTTAAATATGCTAAAGAACATGATCTTACCTAAGC